TAGAAGACGTGAACTACACTCAGAATTTTCAAAGACAACATCACAATCCAAATCCTAACACATATTACCTAGGCTGGAGAAATAACCTAGGTTTTCAATGGAGTAATAATCAGGGAGCTCAGATTGCGCCACAGTAGACTGCACCGCCAGGTTTTCAGCAGGCTGAAAATAAGTCTTCATTGGAAGATCTTGTTACTAAATTGGCGGAGATATCTACTCAACACATGCAAAGAACAGATAAAACTTTACAAGTTCAGGTAGCTGCTATTAAGAATTTAGAAAATCAAATGGGATAAATAGCAAAAGCACTCTTAGAAAGACAGCAAGGAACACTACCAAGCGATACGAAACAAATCCTAAACAGTAGGTAATGGCAGTAAAAGTTATGGACAGCGAGGAGATTGAGGCAATCACTACACGCAGTGGGGTTAAGCTTCCAAAAATTACAGTTGAGAGACGGGTGACAGAAAATAAAAAGGTACCTTTTACAGATAAGTAGCGGGTGGATAAATTTGCACAATCAGACCAAGTAGTACCATCTCAAGAGCTAGAAAATCTACAAGTGAAGGCAACCGTTCCTATCAAACCTTATGTGCCTCCGGTCCCATTTCCACAGAGACTGCAAAAAAGGAAGCTGGAAGAATAGTTTGCAAAGTTCTTGGATACCTTCAGGAAGCTTCATGTCAATATCCCATTAATTGAAGCTTTATCTCAAGTACCAAACTATGCAAAAATTTTGAAGGAGATCCTATCGAAAAAGAAAAGGCTCACAGATTTTGAGACCATCAAGTTAAATGAGGAATGTAGTGCCATCTTGAAGACTAAATAACCTCCTAAACTACAAGATCCATGGAGTCTCAAAATACCTTACGCAATAGGAAAAGATTTGAATTTTAATTGCTTATGTGATTCAGAAACAAGTATAAACTTAATGTCTTTCTCTGTATACAGGAAATTAGGATTGGAAGAGCTAAAGGACAAATCCATCTCCCTTCAATTGGCAGACAGATCAATCAAATACCCGCGAGGAGTGGTTGAGAACGTGCTCATTAAAGTGGGCAAATTCATATTCCCCGTTGATTTTGTTGTCCTAGATATAGAGGAGTCATGGGATGCAGCGTTACTTATCTTGGGCAGATCCTTCCTATCAACAAGTCAAGCTGTCATGGACTTTGAAAGTGGCGAACTGACATTGAGAGTGAAAGATAAACAAGAGAAGTTTAAGATCTACAATATTATTGAGAATCCATTACAAGAAGAGATCAGCAAAAAGGCTAAGGAGGAGTGCAAGTATATTGTTGTAAAGGTACAACAAGGCTCGAGAGAGACGGAGCCTAAACATCTAGTTAGCGTTGGACGAGAGAAGAATGGAGGGTTCAAGGTTAGGAGGGCAAAACGAGGATGCAAGGCCGAAAATTGTAAGGAGTGTAAAAGCTCAAAACACATAGTTAAGCCACCATAATAAATTCGTCCATACAGTCTAGCCAAAGACTATAAATTAAGCGCTTCTTGGGAAGCAACCTAATCTTTTAACCCTTTTATTTATTTTGCTTTCTGCATCGCATAGCATATATATTTGTTTTGATTATTAGGTTGCATTAGATTTATGCACGTTTTAATTTGTAGGGTATCACCATCGTCAATACTCCTCTTATGCCATTGAATTTATTGTTGGTATTTTGATTGTTTAGATTAAGTAACACATGTTCTAGGTTATTTGATTTTTAATGTTTGATTTGAATTGCTATATGCAGGAACGTGACGTCGCGGAACACTCAAACCAACATAAACCAAGAGAAAAACATAATGAAAAATTTGCCTAGTCGTCACATATAAAGCCTCACACATTTCACAAAAAAATTGGGGAGTACCTTCTTCCTTTTCTTCCCTACCCCGTTATGTGCTTATTTATACTTTATAACATTGAGGACAATGTCGATTTCAAGTTTGGGGGTGAAAAAAAAAACATTGAGTTTTTTTTTTTTTTCATATGCTTGTGTGTTTTGGTACGTTTGTTAGTACTACTTAAAAAAACAAAAACAAAAAAACAACAACAAATTTTTTTTTTAGGTTGCGTGCTTGTGTGGGTTGGATAGCCTGGCAAGCAATGATGATCTAAATTGAGATTTAGTGTTAATTTATGAACTGTAGATATGTTGCATGCTAGAGTGATTGAAGTTTAACTTTGCAAAACTTGATATTATACGTGCACTAGAATTGAGTTTGACATTATGATGAAATGAGTTGTTTTATGCTCTTGATAGGTGGATTTAGTTGGACATGAATGTTTTACCCAAACTATACTAAACTAATTATCATTAGACCAAATTTAGCACAGTTTGGGGTGATTTTACTATTGAAAGAAAATACGAATGTGGCCAGGGATTCCTTGTGTAAAAAAAAATAAAAATTGTGTGGATTGTCTGAAATGAACAGGATAAAATTAAATGAAAGTCTTGAGTTGGAGGTTAGTTTTTTTGAATACGTGTATGATAAGGGGCATTGCACTAATCAAGGCATATATTTTAGAATTTAAAACTTCTCTTTGAAGCCTTAATGACTCGAGCAATTAAGCCTGCAAGGGTATCTTAAAACCTGATATCCTAAAATCATCTGACTTGGGAGTCATCAGCCTAAAACTCGCTACAGTGGTCATTTAGAAAGCAATCAGAGATGAAGTTGTCATTGAAAAAATAATAATAATTGTTCTCTTCGAAACCTTTATGACTCGGGTTATTTAGCCTGTAAAGGTGTTTAAAAACCTGGTGCCCTAAAGTCGTCTAACTTGGGAGTCATCGGTCTAAAGCCTGCTACACGGGTCATCAAGAAAAGTTAAGGGAGAGTGCAAAAAATAAAAAAAAAAAATTAAAAAAAAATAATAATAATAATAATAATCATAAATTGCATTTGCCTTGTTAAGTCCTAACATTGTTCGAGGAAATTTGATTTTCGATGAAGAATAATTAACCTAGTTGAGTCTTGCAGTCGAAGCAATCAAATAATTGGATAATCCTTATTCATTGATGTGTTGACTTGCAACTAGTAACATCCACCCAAATTGGAAAGGTTGAGAATAGTAATGAAGAACTCAATCTTAGATCACACGCTGGGAAAAGAGTGAAAAAAATAAGTTTGGGGGTATGTGAATCTTACGTGAGATGAAAGGATAAATTTGACCATAGAGGGTCAGAAATTGGAACAACCTGTGAAGTCATTAATGTCTAACTAGTTCTTCACACACACACACACACACACACATACACACATCGATTTTGCATTAAAAAAAAATGGATATTGGTTAGGTGTTGTGACTATGGAGCAGTTTGTAAATTTAATACGGTGATCTACATTCCCGATGTAAAAAGCTAGATTATCTAACCAAAATATTTTACATGTTTGTGTGTACGTTAAGTTAAGTTTTGATTTTGTTTGAAGACAAACAAATATTTAAGTTTGAGGGTGTTTGATAAGTGTATTTTATACACTTATGTAGAC